TTTAAACTTACTAACTTGCGGGATGCTACTTACTTACTCACTTACTTCTCTTTTTCTGTTACTTATGCACATACCCAAATCGACATATAAGTTCCGACTAGGGAAAATATGGATAAGGGAAAATAAAGCGTGCATACATACTAGTCTGGGTTGGCAGTACAGAAGCGTGAAATAAAGTACGGTATAGTTTGAAATTATTTATACATGCCAACATAACATAAACATAAACAAATGTCCAGCTGACTCGGACACCAGCACACCACCAAGCTCTGCTCACGCTCCGGGCTGCACTCCATCACCTAAAAAGATAATAGTGGGGGCGTGAGTATTCATCCACTGTACTCCGCAAGAACCAGCACTGAATAAACAACACATATAATCGAATATCATAAACTCAACATATACATAAATAAAATTGTACTGTACTGGTGCAGGCTACCGGTAACTGGCTGGTTCTCATGTGATCACGTTCTGGGGGTCACCTCCCCAGAAACCCAGGATGACTCTACTGGGAATCAAAACTGTACTGGGCGAGTGACTCTACTGGGAGTCAACATAAACTGAACCACGAACGGAAATACTGGACCGTTCGGGTAAAACTGTATATCTACATACATACCTTATATATGGTACAAGATTATAGGCAATGTAATACCCAGTGCAGGGTGTTTGTCCCATTTTTGTGTCTTTATTTTGTGTTTATTTTCTTTTGTTTTCCCCCATTTGTAGGTTTTCTGTAGTTTATTTGGTCCATTTCGTTCGTTTTGTGTTTTTGTCTTTAGTTCATATTTTTCTATCTTTTTGCCGTGTTTTGCTTCGTGTTTCCTTGTTTTTGTGTTTTCAGGAGGTAGGTTGTGCCAGTCGAGGTTGAGACTATTTGATCCGAGACCATGATATCGAGAATACCCATTGCCGAGCCCAGAAGACTAAAGGAAGGCCAGAAAATCGGACAGAAGCTGTTCCCAGAAATTCTCGCGACTCGCGAGTCGTCTCGCGACTCGCGACTCTGGTCGCGACTCGCCAACATGTCGCGCCCCGCGAGAAAAACTGGGGCTAAAAGGAAGTTGCGAGTCGATGTCGCGACTCGCGAAGTAGAGTCGCGACTCGCGAGTCAGGTCGCGACCAAGCCCCTGAATTTAAAGAAGAAGACGACGCGCGACTCGCGAGGAAGTCGCGACTCGCGACGGAGAAGAAGACCATCTCGCGACTCGCGACTCATGTCGCGAGTCGCGACTTAACCGGCGCGAATTTCGAGGACGGGATTTTTAGAGCAGAATTTGACCCTAGGGTTGATTATTCACGATTCCAACTTTGTTTTTACACTTTTTCTCTGGAGAAACTCATTCCTTTTCTTTCTTTTTGCACTTTGATTGGTTTTGGAGATTGAAAAACTCCTTTTCTACGCTTTGGATTTGGATTGTTCATTGGATTTGACATTGGATTCTCTATATAAATCGTAAGTTATTTTTCTCAATTCCTTGTTGATGATGATGGTTTGGGTTTGTGTGATTGTTAATGTTGAATTCCATATGAGTAGCTAAATCCACTCGCTAGGGATAGGGGATGATTGATTAGGTTCGTTATAATTGAGTGCTTTTGATTGTTCATGTCTATTCGAGTTGTGTGAACCATAGGGTTAGGAGATTGATCACCTTTCTAGCCTAGATAATCAACGTGTAGAACCGAGAGGGGAGACGTTGGTAGAATTAGGCTCGTTTAGAATAGATTTGTTCGGAAGCGTATAATCTATGAGTTG